AACACCGCGTAACCTACTTAACGATTTTGAGAGTGACTGGATGGCAAAACCCTTAGTCAAAAATTACTTAGAGCAACAACAAAACAAAAAAAAAAAAAGAAGAAAAAAGTGACTTGTGGAGAACCATGAACGCCCCCACTTCTTTCAGAGACTTACCTAAAAGACATGAGTAGAATGCCGAAGAGTCCTTGGAGCGAAACGTAATAACTAAAAACTAAAAATAAAAAAAACGGACGATATAACATCTCGCGCTAGTTAAAGATAATTTTTATTCCAAGGCCTTTTTAAACGTGTCCAACAACTTTAGACTTTAACACTTTCTTTACAAGTTTGAGTTTAAAAATATCCAGAAAAAAAACTCAGATTTTAAAATAAATAAACCAATTAAAATAAATCCATATAAATTCAGTGATTCGATTTACTAATTGCAGCTGAATTAACAAATTTAAAATTAATTGTACGGGGAAACACTCACTTGATCGACCCATCAAAGTGTCCAGAAAAAAGGATGACTACTACTACTACCTCTTATTATTCTTATTCTTCTTATTACTACTACTACTACTATCTGAAAAAAAGGCCAAAACGTTGTGAATATGGCAGTAAATATGAGGATAAGTCCAAATAAAGTAAATAAGTTTTCTGTTTTAATCCTCCTTTTACGAATATTTTGAAATAATTTCCTATTGAATCATAAAAACCTGTTTTCGTTTTATAACTCATTCTTTTTAGAGAATATTAGAATATAAAATTAAGCACACCAAAATATGGTTGTAAATGTTTGTCTTGTATTCTTGTTCTTGTACTGTCCGTAAAAAAAAATTGACTGTCTTTCACTCATTGGCCTTCGTGATGCATCAAGATGTCCTCATAATTTGAATGACAAATGCATGGGTGTTCGTCTTTTGTGTATGGATGTTGAACCCTAAAAATCTTCCTGTCTTAAATGAACATTGAACCCTAAACTTTAAAACGTTTTCGATTTCCCTGTCTTGAACGTCAAATTAAAAAATTAAAAAACACCCGATATTATTATTTTTCTACAGATATTCGGCTTACGACCATATCACCGAAGCAACGTTGACACTGGTCAATACCTAGATGGTGACCGCTTAGGGAATACCAGATCTTGTAAGCTTGGATTTTGGGTGGTGTAATGGATAATGACTCGGAATTATTAATCGGGGTGCCAAGTTCCCGTATGATCACCGAAGTTGAGCAACGTCGAGCATGGTCAATACCTTGATGGTTGACCGCTTAGGAATATAAGGTGCTGTAAGCATGCATGTGTGGGTGGTGTAATGGATAATGGCTCGGAATTATTCATTGGGGAGCAGAGTTCCCGTACGATCACCGAAGTTAAGCAACGTCTAGCCTGGTCAATACCTAGATGGGTGACCGCTTGGGAATACAAGGTGCTGTAAGCTTGGATGTGCGGGTGGTGTATTGGATCTTGACTCTCTGATTACCAATTCCATCCAGGTTCGTTATATTCATCATAATCATCATTAGCTCCTTAACTGTTTCAATTGTCGAGTGGACCTAAGAGCGAAAGAAACAGACAGCCTCCTCCAGGATGATATGTTGGCGTTGACTCTCAGGAAACCTTTTCCATCAGTGCTGGTTGAACTCTCTGCCTCCGGGCAGAGAGGATCCCCAGACGAGGCTATGTCGTAGGGCAGAGTCTTGTCTCGTGAAACAGCTACCCGATCCCGTTTTATACGAGGTCTGTGGGGAATTTTTGCCCGAGCCTACGGGCTCGCAATACCCCACGTTAAACTCTGCCTTGTGCCACATCCTACCTGGTTGGTGGGGGTCAAATATCAACTCTCAGGAGTTCCAGCATTAACATATTTGTCTACTCTTTGGTATTGTCTGTGTTGTAGAGTAATTACACAGTGGAGGCTTGTATTTGTACTAAGTCGGTCCTAAAATAGGTTCGACGTACAAAACGTTATGAACTTGATATTATAGGTATGACGCAGAGTAAACTGGTTGTGGTCGCTGATACTTTAGTATCCGACTAACGGTCGTCCGGCATCGACTGACTGACCGACCCCCTCAGCCACTCTTACTACTCCTACTTATTATAGGTGGGAGAGTCTATTAACTATAGAATAGGTGTGTTCCACGATAACAGTCTGACAAGGTTTTGCGCATCAAAAAAAAAACAAAAAAAACACCACAAAAAATATTGTTATATTCACTTACATACAAATATTTTGGGGAATTATATGAATGCCTCCATACCCCACCCCCAGCTATAGATTAATTAGTATGGGTTTTATCAGTAAAATCATTATCATCTGTAAAAAAAAGTTCTTAAAATCTAAAAATATTTTTCTGGCTTTAAATAACCTGTCAGAGGTTGCTAACCCGTAAAAATAAATCAATCGACAGATAGTAATTTTAACAAATTTTCAACCAGTCGCTACCTTTATTATTATTATGAAAACGCTATCATTAGAAAGAAATTGTGCCAGTCTTAGTTCAGATTTCAAAAAAAAAAAAAATACAGGAAACCTGTTTGATTGATTGCAACAAACCTGTAACGTAGATCTTCTCGCACGAGGTCAATTGTGGAACGAGGTCGAGTTTAACATGGGGCAATCCGAGCCCGTAGGCTCGACCAAAAATTCCCCGTAGACCCCGTATAAAACGGGGTCGGGTAGCTGTTTCCCGAGATGAGACTCTGCTCTTCGACATAGCCTCATTTGGGGATCCTCTATGCCTGGAGGCAGAGAGTTTGACCAGCACAACTGGAAAAGATCCCAGCTAGTCGGTATTTACTAGACCCCCCCACACACACACACACACGAGGGTAGATGTGGCCCAAAGCCGGGATTAATGTGAGTCTTCCGAGCCCGTAGGCTCAGCCAAAAAAATTCCCGTAGAACCCGCATAAATGGGATCGGGTTGGTCAACCTTCCCGAACGAGATTCTGCCTTTCGGCGAACCTCGTCCGGGTTCCTCTCTGCTCAAAGGCAGAGAGTTCGACTCTTTAGCTGGAACAGATCGCAGCTAGTATTAGGTTGGTGCGAAAATAATGACGTAATAATGTCGTTTTTTGACGTTAAAAATATACGTAAAAAAACGACATTATTACGTCATTATTTTTGCACCAACCTAATATATTTAGCGACCCGCCCACGAGGGTTGCATGTGGTACAAGGCCGGTTTAACGTGTGTTCTCCGAACCCGTAGGCCCGGCCCAAAATATTCCCTTTTTGAACGCACATAAACGGGTTCAGAGGCAGTCAACCTACCCAAACAAGACTCTGCCCTTCGGCGAAGCCTCGTCCGGGTTCCTCTCTGCCCCGAAGGCAGAGAGTTCGACTGTCTAGGCTTGAACCGGTCGCAGCTAGGCTCTGTAATCCGTTGACTTACAAATACTTACAGGTAATTTTCTACCTATAGTGTAGTCACTCATGGGGGTGACAGGTTATTCCATTACATCAACTACTTTTCTATTTCAGTATATAAATTGTTTTGTTTGTGCTTGTTCTTTATACTTTCTTTCTTCCCTTGCCTTGCCGACAATAATATTACTCTTGCCCCTATCAAGTCAGCCTTTCTTCTTTCACTTCTTGTCTTTTTATACACGTGTATACGACTGCACCTGAAGTTCTTGATGATTGCAAATATGTTAAATGTTTCATAAGCAGTTTTTGATAAGACAAAATGCGTTTGTGAGCAACTGTACTTCTCCAGACAAACGTGTGCACACTGGAGGGTCGCAGTTGCAAATATTGAACTGCTTTTCTGCTTTTTATGCCCGAGAAATAAAAAGGCTTTGGTGAAAAGTTTTGAAAGTGGACAATTATTATTATTTTTTTATTTTATTTTTTTGATGATCAGTTTTCTGATTGGTTGAATTATTTTGAACTTCTATTGAATTTGTTTTCAGCGGGATTTCTGGTAATTTGTTGTGATCCACTTTTTAATGAGATTTTTCAAATGATTTTTGTTTTTATTTTTCTTGCTTCTTTGTTTTCTTTTGTTGCTTTTTTTGTATTTTTTATTGCAATTTTTTTTTGTGTGTTGATTTTTAAAAGTGACTGGATACAGTTCTGATGGCCACAAACTGAGGTAAAATTAAAATATACTCCTCATATTGTACAGTTATATGTAATATTATATATTTGTATATTTAGGCAGCAATCCTTCGTTTATGCATGTTTCATTAAAAACAACAAGAGCTTTCTTTTCTGGACAGAGAGTGTGTAAAAACTGTCCAAATGTTTTATAGTTTCGAGCGCTTTCGGCTATACCTTTAGCCATTATCAAGGATGATTCAATTTTTTAGCTTAATTGAGTGTGTGCATTATGTGTATGTTTTAGTGTGTGGTAGAGAAAACACAAATATAATAACTTCATCCACTTGTAAAAAAAAAAAAAAAAAAAAAAAAATAATGGAAGCTTTAATAATAAAAAAGAAAAAGCCAACTCTTAACAATCTTAACTACGAACAAAGCCACAATGTGCTAACTGTATTCGAAAATTAACATCTCTACAGTGGGTTACAATTAACAAAATCCAAAACCTTGACTCTTTTTTCATAAATTCAAATAAATTTATCTCTTGTGGAACTTCCTGCATCAATATACCAATGCATTCCTATAATAAAATCATTTGCAATTAATTTCTGTAGATGCTTTGAGTATTTGCTATATCACTAGATATGGAATCATTAGAGGGAATTAAAGTTTGGATGGATTTGTTTTTAAATTTCATAATATTCCAGGTTCCATAAAGAGCCATAAATATTCATTCTATAACAAAATCCAATGAAAAGAGCTAGATGTATTCAATCATATAAATGGAATTTAGAGGAATAACGGAAGTTTGCATTTGTTTCATAAATCCTTCGATTGTATTCCAGGTTCCATAAAGAAAAAGTATTCAAATCATTTCTTGTCATATATAGTAAAATATATTGGTCATGTAAAGAGTTGCTTATAATAATTGTTAATTCAGTGAGTTTTATTTTATTTTTTCAGCTCCCAGTGGTGCACCGACTCATTTAGTTGGACGGTCTCGCAGCAATTCCTCCATTATCCTCCAATGGCTGATTCCAGAAAAGAAATACAGAAATGGTCCGTTGATTGGTTTCAATATACGTTACAGCCTCCAGGGTTATGAGAACTTGTCAATGAATGAAGATGCCTTGGATGACCCTGACGTTACACGTCACACTATCGTTGGTCTGGTTCCGTTTACTTCATACAACATCAAAATAGCAGCTCGAAATGCCAAGGGAATCGGTGTGTTCAGTCCATCAATCTCAGTGTGGACAGAAGAAGGCAGACCAACAGCGCCACCTACAAACCTCAATTGTACAGCAATTAATTCCACCGTTGTTAATGTCCAGTGGAAGGCGCCAGATTCAACACAAATTTTTGGTCTTCTGAAAGGTCAGTTTGTTTTATATCTTAAAATTTGACATTATATATTGAATGATGTTTTGAACAATAAGTTTTTTATATATAATTTTTATACCCATGAATTTTTATGTCATGGGGTGTATGTGGTATTTTGATACATGTAGGAGGTGATGGACATGTTCCTGTGGTGATTGAGCAAAATGTATTGAATGAATGGGTCGTGATTATCATTAACTAGGATAGTTATGGAGAACCAGCCTTTCCCCACTTCCCCTTTGGCCTTGTGCCACAAGCTATTCAAATGTAATGTCAGTCGACATCTCCAGTTGCCTTGATCTATCCACTACCCTTTTGTCCTCATTCTTTCTTCTATCACTCCTATCTGATCTTGCTCCAAATTTTCTGTAACCCCTTGCGTCCTCGTGGCTTCCCCTGCCTTGCCTGGGGTGAAACGCTTAAAAAAAAAAAATAACTGTACATTTTCCTTTTGGGCCTTGTGACACATTTTATGTATTTTATCAATAAATCTTGAACGATTTTTTTTTTTATTTTTTATATATAATTTTATACTCAAAATTGTTATGTCATAGAGTGTATGTGGTATTGTGGTACATTTTGTAGGAGATGATGGACATGTTCTTGTGGTGACTGAATAAATTATCTGTCTATATTTCTGAGATGAGGTATTATGTACACTATTTACATTATTCAGATTATTGTCCTCATCTTTGTCCCCATATTTATTACAACATTTCGGCCGTTGTAAAAAAACCTTCTTCAGGTGGTTGGAATGTCGAACTGAACCCTTTATTTCGATCACTAGGGTAGACTGTTCTAGTTCCACGTGCCATGTCTAATGGATGTCAGTTATCAGTTATCTCTTGCTCAAGGACACATGTCAGAGTGGATAAAGGCGTTAGTTAGATCCAGTGACAGGACCCAAAGAGTGTGAGTTCAATACCTGGTTAAGGCAGTGGAGAACTCGGAGAGGGGATTTAACAATAAACTGACAACCCGATAAAAGAAAAGGAAATCCCTCTTTAATACAGAGAAGAGAGAAAAAATGAAGATTATTGCACCTTTTTTATGATTCAACAATTAATTCCCGTCCTGGGTAAGACGATAAACTACATCCGCGTCCTGGGTAAGACGATAAACTACATCCAACAGCAAGGCCTCTGATCAGGAGGTTTTGAGGAGTGTGGAACCACCGCTTAATTGCTGCTGTTCCCGGGTCCACCTTGACTCAGGGTGGTAGCACCTGTTAGGGTCCTAGCTATGGGCAAATAGTTAACCCCCACAAAAAAAAAACTGTGGTCAAAACACTATGAAAATGTAAAAATAGGTTTTAGTACCAGCAATAAATTTTTGGAAAAAAATATTACCAGCAATAAAAATCTTGTCAGCATTAAATTACCCATTGAGGCTGATATGTTGTAAAACAAACCAAACCAAGTGTGGAGAAGTTAATCATCCATAATTTTCCTACTTCAAGCTAGTTTGAGTCACCACCACTCATTCTAATTATTTACACAAGCAACATAAGAGCTCATCCTGCACTATTTGCATTATTCAGACTATCATCCTCATCTTTACATTAGTCGGACTATTGTCCTCATCTTTGTCGCCATATTTGTCACAACGTTTCGGCCGTTGTACGCTCCGGCCTTCTTCAGGTGGTTGGAATTTCGAACTGAAACCTTTATTTCGATCACTGGGGTAAACTGTTCTAGTTCCACGTGCAATGTTTGATGGATGTCAGTTATCAGTTTTCTCCTGCTAATTTTCCTTCTTTAAGTTCTCCACTTTTAACCAGGAATTGAACTCACCTTCTTTGGGTCTGTCACTGTATAACCAACGAGTCCACTGTGCCATGTATCCTTGAGGACATCTGGGTATGAACTTCTGAGGGACACATGGCAAGGTGGGATAAAGGCGTTGGTTAGATCCAGTGACAGACCCAAAGAAGGTGAGTTCAATTGCTGGTTAAGGCAGTTATGAGAACTTTTCAAAATTGAAAATTAGCAGGAGATAACTGATAACTGACATCCTCAATAATTTGGTTGGAACTAGAACAGTCTACCCCAGTGATCGAAAAATAAAGGGTTCAGTTCGAAATTCCAACCACCTTAAGAAGGCCGGAGCGTACAACGGCCGAAACGTTGTGAAAATATGGCGACAAAGATGAGGACAATAGTCCGACTCATGTAAATACTGTACATAATACCTCATCTCAGAAATATAGACAGAATCCTCATCTTTGTTGCCATATTTATCACAACATTCGGGCGTTGTACACACCGGCCTTCATCAGGTGGTTAGACTGTCGAACTGAACCCTTTATTTCGCTCGCTGGGGTAGACTGTTCTAGTTCCATGTACCATGTCTAATGGATGACAGTTATCTCCTGTTAATTCCCGTCTCCAAGTGTCTTAACCAGATATTGAACTCACAACTCTTTGGAGGTCCTGTCACTGGATCTAACCAACACTTTTAACCACTATGCCATGTGTCCTTAAGGCTAAAGTTCAGTTCGACATAAATAAATGTTCAGTTCGACATTCCAACCACCTGAAGAAGGCCGGAGCGTACAACGACCGAAACATTGTGATAAATATGGAAACAAAGATGAGGACAATAGTCCGACTAATGTAAATAGTTGTTGTAGAGTAATTTTCACTGTGGAGGCTTATATTTCACTCAGTCGGTCCTAAATTAGGTTCGACGTACAAAACGTTGGGAACTTGCAATAACAGTTTGATGCTGCAATCTAGTTGTGGGGCTCATCCTTTAATGTCCGACATCGATTGACTCACACAATTCACTGAACTCCACTGGCGACTGCTGCTATTACTACTACTACTACTACTTATTATCTGTGGGAGAGTCTATTTACAATAGAAATAGGTACGTTCCGGTATAACAATAGTGTAAATAATACCTCATCTCAGAAATATAGACAGATACTGAAAGGCCGAAACGTTGTAATAAATATGGCAACAAAGATGAGGACAATAGTCCAAATAATGTAAATAGTGTACATAATACCTCATCTCAGAAATATAGACAGATACTGAAAGGCCGAAGCGTTGTAATAAATATGGCAACAAAGATGAGGACAATAAAAGGCAAATAATGTAAATAATGTACATAATACCTCATCTCAGAAATATAGACAGATACTGAAAGGCCGAAGCGTTGTAATAAATATGGCAACAAAGATGAGGACAATAGTCCAAATAATTTAAATAGTGTACATAATACCTCATCTCAGAGATGTAGACAGATACTCATCCTTCACCATTTGATTCGAACATGCACCAAGATACCACATTTTCACAGAGGACCTAATAAGACTTCCATGATATATGTATATACATTTTTTATGCAAAATTTCCCTTGGCAAGAAAAGCCAATTGCTTTTATAGCAGCCTGTTAGACCCTTTATGGACTTTGCTATTCTTGGAGTATGGAAATGGATTTTTTCTATAGGATCGTCTCCACTCGGTTGAACTTGAACCACGATTCCGTGGTGAAACATTATTTTTTCCTGCAAAAGCAGCAAGCAGCACAAGTGTTTTGACCTTTGGGGTATGTCACCATTTTCTTCTGTACGCTTTATATCTTTTCATACGATAACAATGTTGTTTTAGTCTAAACTCAACTGACCTTAACATAAGGCCCAGTGGATAAAGACTTTGGTTAGATCCAGTGACTAGACCTAAAGAGTTTTGAGTTCAATACCAGGCCACAGCTGTGATGAACCAAAACTTGGAGAGTTGAGTTAAACGGAAATAACAGACATCCGGAAGAGGCATGACACGTGGAACTAGAACAATGGACGAAATAAAGGGTTCGATTTGAAATTCCAATCACCTAAAGAAGGCCGAAGCATACAACAGCTGAAACATGGTGAATATGGCAATAAAGATGAGAATAACATTCTTAATAATGTAAATAATGCAAGTTATCATAATACCTCTTCTCAGAGATATAGACAAATATTGAAGACAAATTCCAATCACCCGAAGGATGTCAGAGCATACAACAACCAAAACATTGTGAATATGGCAGTGAAGATGAGGATAATGGTCCAAATTATGTAAATTATGCAAGTAATCATAATACCTCATCTCAGAGATATAGAGGCCGAAACGTTGTGAATATGGCAATGATGATGAGGATAACAGTCTGAATAATGTAAATAATGCAAGTAATTAATTTCACTGTTTAAGAAAATAAAAATAATAAAACAATCTCTTTTCTTTTCAGGTTATTTTATCATTGCTCGTCCAGTTAAGAAAGATGAAAATTTCGAGACGGTGAGAGAAAAAGTCGATGTGGACACTAAGAATATGTATGGAATGCAGAAAGGCTATATTGGGGGTCTGCAGAAATATACAGAATACAGCATCTCTGTGACAGGCTTTACCCACAAAGGAAATGGACCTGAGAGTGAGGCGCAAAAGATCAGAACTCTAGAAGATGGTAAGCGAGAATCTCTTGTATATTCTTCTTTAAACATTTTTTTGGCAGTGGAATTTACAAAACCATTATTCAATTCATTCAATCTAACTTTTGAAAAAGAACTTTTTTTAAATATTTTTAGCACAAATGAATTCAAATGACACCTTCAATAAAACCTATTCTTTAGATCCAATATATTTTGTTATATTAAGGCAGTGGTTCTCAAATGGTCCACCTGGGCGCACTGGTTCACACTGGAAGATGTCTAGGTACAACCTGGTATTGCAGAGAAATATATGTCCAGATATAAGAAATAAATATTACTTTATTATACTGCAGTACCCGTCTAGTTGTGGATAGAACTTGTGGAAAAGCTTCAGTTATAGGAAGATTTTGTTTTGCTGTATTGAACTAGTAGGTGTTGCTGGTCGATCAACCATGCCTAGTTCAAGAAAGTTGATTACTAAAAGATGTATTATGTGACATAAATGAAATGTGGTTCTACAGAAGGCTGCTAAGGATATGGACCGAGCGTGTGAGCAACGATGAGGTCTTAGAGAGTTTGCAAACAAGGAGGAGGATTATACTTAACATCAGGAAAAGGCAGCTGCAGTTTCTGGGACACATAATGAGGAAGGAGGGCCTGGAGAATCTGATACTCACGGGTCAAATAGTGGAAAAGTGAGGCAAGGAAAAATAACGCGTGATATACCTGGCATTTCAGAGAAATATATGTCCAGATATAAGAAATAAATATTACTTTATATACTGCAGTACTCGTGGAAAAGCTTCAGTTAAAGAAAACTTTTGTTTTGCTGTATTGAATTGCTGGTTGATCCTCCATGCCTAGTTCGAGAAGGTTGATTACTAAAAGATGTATTATGTGACATAAAATGATAACAAGGATTAGGATTGTTTATTTAAAAGTTCTCTCATACTTTCATAGTAATTTATCATTTATTTGTTTCTAAGCAAATGGGATAAATTAGTTACTTTATCATATCCACTGATCATGGGTTGATGATTAAACATAATGAATTGTCTCTTGAAGCTTTTTGGATTTCTATAAAAGAATGTGTGTCAATATCTAAAAAAGCTCTGACCATTTTACTATATTTTACAACATCATAGTTATGTGAATTCGGCTTTTCTGCTCTCACTACAATTAAGTGCAAAAAAGAGAGGAACTCTTCAATATATAGAGGAGGAAATAAGTGTTGGCCTATCAAATATACGCCCAAACATTGAAGAAAACACTAAGATTCGTCAGGCTCATGTTTCTCATAAACACAAGAATGAATAACCTTAAGGTATATTTCATTTTATATTTTCTTTATTGCATTTTTCTTTTCTGCAACATTTGACTTCATTATAACATATTTTTCAAAAATTTGTATATAGTGTGCCTAGAATTATTGGTAGGATTTCAAGTACACCTGAACTTCAACAACTTTGTGAACCACTGTATTAAGGAGTTCAAAAGATCTTCAAAAGTCCTTACATTGGATATCCTATGTTATTTTTATATTCACGAGGCATTCAGTAGGTGCAGTAATAATATATCGGGGTCAACAGTTAATATCATATGTTGGGTAAGTCACCAGATAATAGATGACTATGGAAGAAATATTTATTCCCTTAGTTTGTATTTTCCCCATTAAGGGCATTATTATATCTATGATGTAATAACTTATTTCACAGACGTAATAGAATAGCTGAAAGAAAAAAAATGACACACGTACTTGGTTTTTAGAGAGTGTTTTATACCACTACACCATACACAAAATTGTATACATATATTTACATTAGTCCCACACATAGAAATTATAACATATGCAACAACAAGCTGTGTGAAAAGAGAACGAAAAGATAAGGTTTTAATTTTTAATAATTCCCAACGGAAATTGGTTCTGCCAAAGATTCTTCTGTGTTTCTGGAGAAGCCATATTTAGGATTCCAGATTTGAGCAGGCCAGATTCATCTGTTATCTCACTAGTGAGGAAATGGGCAGATTTAGCTTCAGCCTAGACTGAAAAGAGAACTGTTTGGTTTGACTCCTGGAAACTCATTGAAGGACTGACCACTTTCGTCACTATCAAGTGAAGTCACTAAGCAGCCACCACGTAGTCATTGTGACTTCATCTCCACCAAAGGGAGATAATCAATTTTTGTATCTTATTTCTGATTATCCAATGTTATTTTGAGATGAATGAGTTCATGAAATATTCAATAGGCCCCACACTGGATATCCAATGCG